ATGGCGACGCCAGCGTGGTTCCAGGCAGCCCGCCCCGGCGATCGGGTCCTCGTCTGCTACTTTCAGGACGCGGGCGGGGCGGCAGTGGAGTGGCATGAACGCGTTTTGCTCGGCCACGTCAGCGGCTCCAAGTGGGTCGCTATCTCGCGGGACTTCGATATCTTTGAGGAGGATTTTGCCGAAGCCGATGGGCCGCGGCAGTTTTTGGCCAACGGACAGCTGCCTGCTGCGTTGCGTGGGCTCCCACACTTCCTGATCGATCACTACCAGTTTGGCCAGGACCGCCAGTACTACATGGAGACGGGGGAGGCGCTCGCGCGGGGCCTTCGGCCCGCCGCGCCGGCGGCGCCAGGCCCGGCTCTCGGGGACGGGGGCCCAGGCGCGCTCGTGCCCGCTGAGGGCGCCGCCCCCTTGGTGGAGAAGTGGTTTGCGCTGGAGGGCCGAGGTGCCGTGCAGCGGGGCGACGCTCTCACGGCCGCTCTCGAGTCGGTCGATGTCAGCGCCAACGACCGGTGCCTCTTCAAGCTGCTCGACGGCACGGTGCTGACCGGCGGGCTCGAGGGCGCGCTGCCCGCGGCCCCTGGCGGTGGGGGAGGTGACGACTCCCGCATTCTGCCCGCCAAGCAGGACGGCCAGCGGCGCTTCCGGCGCAGTTTCGCGAGCGCCTTGCAGGACATGCAGCTCGTCGAGTTCAAGGATAGCTGGGAGATCGAGGGCCCTCGGTCGGCCTACTTCACGGCGGAGTGGGTCCACGACGGGAACCACAGCCCCGTCCAGCGGCACTACTGGTGGCGCTCGGTGATGGGTCTGTCGGCCACCGACGTGGGCGTGGACGAGCACCTGCTGCTGTCCCAGCTCATCGAGGTCGCGATGACGGTCGACCAGGTGCAGATCTGCAACTTGGCGACTTTCGAGCTGGTCAGCCGCCGGTACCAGATGTGGGAGAGTGCGTATAAGGACTTACTTCGCGAGGTGGACACCGGCGGCTCGGGCGGCGACGACTGGCTGAATGAGCGTTCTTGTTTTCTCGGTGTCAAGAATCATGGGGGTAGCGCTATCATCATGCCCGAGCTGGAGGACTTCGTGGCGAAGGAGTTGGCCTCCCGGGCCGCTGTGCTCAAGGAGCGCCGCAAGGCGAGGGGGGAGGCTTCGCTTGCTAGAGGAGTTGGGGCGGGGCCTGCAGCGGCCGAATCGAAGAAGAAGCCCAAAGGTCCCAGCAAGGAGAAGGAAAGGAGAAGGCCTGACGGCCTATCTTCCTCCTGTCTTGTGCCGCCACGAGGGGGAGTGCCCCGCCTCCTCGAAGGCTTTCGTGAGGGGTTCAGGGCTGGCAGGTGGGGCCGCCCTGAGGCGATTTCAGCTTCGCAGCAGATGAGGCAGCGCGACGTCCTGCCGATCTCCCTGGCCGCCGCCTCGGAGGTCTGTGCTGGAGGTGCCAGCGGGCTGGGCTTGTCCCAGAGTCAGCGACGGGGGCTTCGGCGTCGACGGGCCCAGGAGGGGTGGCTGTTCGAGGGCATCCGCGCCTTGAATGAGCTGGGTGCGCCGCAGCCGCCTCCTACTTCGCCTGCATCGTCGACTTCCGCTCAGGTCTCAGCCGTCCGACACCTTGCCCAGCAGTATGGATCGGTCGCGGCTCCTCCGCCTGACTGCGGGGGCTCCCTGGGAGCGTGGCAGTCGCTCCAGGGCTCGCGGCCCGGCTACATGGACGACGTGTTGGCCGTCGGTGTTCGCGCGAACTTCGAGCGAGGGAACGTGTCGCTTCACGCGGGGCTTTCTGGGCGAGTATCTCTGAGTGAGTGCCTGCCGCTTGCCCTGCAGTCCGCGCTTGAAGATCGTTCAATCCTTCTTTCTGAGGACGAGGCCGCCGCCCGTCGTGAGAATTTTGATGGCAGCCTGTTCCTTGATCCTGTTCTGCGGGACAACCCTAAACTTTTTGGAGAGTTCGTTTCCGAGCTCTGGGAGGCTGGCGTTGTGGAGGTCAGCGACGATGCGCTCGAAGAGAGTGGCATGTTTTTCGTTCGAAAAAAATCAGGCGCCCTTCGCCTGATTTGGGATACTCGTGTGCCTAACCTTCGGTTTCGCGAGCCCCCTGGTGTGGTCTTGCCCTCCGGCGAGGCCCTTGGTCATCTCGAATGCAGGCCTCGTGTGATTCCCGTGCTGCACGGGGGCGACGTCGAAGTTTGCTATTACCAGTTCGCTCTCCCTGAACAGTACAGGTGTTTTTTCGGCCTGCCAGCCCTTCCCATTGCGCACCTGTCCCCGTCCCTCGTCGCTTCTCTGCCGGACGCGGTTCGGGATCGTGGCTGGGCTCGCGTGCGGGCCCACGTGGTGCCGATGGGTTGGAATTGGGCTGTGGCCCTTGTACAGGCCGCGAACCAGTACCAGCTAGATGGACTTTCCCCCGAGGCCCCGTGGCTCCTTGATAAAGTTCCGCTTCCACCTCTTGGCGACGTTGGGTCGCTGCGCGGATTGTATATCGACGGCTTCGTTTCCCTGGCCCATAGTAAGTCGGTTGCTACCTCGGACGTCCTGGGGATGCAGTCTCGGCTCGCGGACCTCGGGATCGTGTCGACCCTGGGGAGCTCGGAGGCGGGGGACAATGACTTCATAGGTTTCACACTGGTGGGCTCCTCGGGTGAGTGGCGTCCTAAATCTAGTCGGTTCTGGAGGTTGAAGTTGGCGTCGGATTATCTCTTGGAGGTTCGACCGAGTATCGCGGGGCAGGAGCTCGAGCGTTTCGCGGGCCATGTCACGGCTTTGTTTTCGCTGTCCCCTGAACTCTTGTGCCTCATGGAAAAGGTCTATGTGTTCATTCACGAGAGTTGCACCCGCCGTCAGCTTTGTGGCCGTCTGTGCATCGCGAAGTTCGGTGGATACGTGCTCTGCTTCCGCTGGCGCGGGCGTCGATGCGTCGGCCCTGGTCGAGTCGGGTCTTCGGCTACGGCGCCTCCTGCTGGGGCTTTGGAGTCGGGTCGGTGCGCTGGGGGCCGGGTGAGGTCGCCGCCATGGGTCGCGTTCGTGAACGGGCCCGTTTTCGTGGCCTCCTCAGTGTCTCGGAGGCGCCGCGGTCCCGGGCCCTCGAGCATCAGGAGGAGCTGGAGATCGCCGGGGCCTCGGAGGCCAACATCCTGGGCCTGGGTCGGGCCCGGGCGTTTGTCGAGGTCCCGGCGGACCTGGTCGAGCGCGGCTGGACTGTGGCCTACGCTGGCCGCTGGAGAGGGGTCCCGGGGTCCCAGGTCCAACTTGAAGCTCGGGCCCGGACCTGGACGGTGCGCCATGTTGCTCGGGATTGCAGTCTTCATAACTCTCGAGTGCTTCTCTTGGGTGACAATATGTCTGTGATCCTTGCGCATGCCAAGGGCAGGTCGTCCACGCCGGCCATGAACTTTCAGTGCCGGCTCACCTCGGCCACCGCCCTCGCCGTCGGGCTCAAGCTTTACGACCGTTGGGCCCCATCGGAGCTCAGCGCCCTGGACGCTGCGAGCCGAGTTCACCAGCCTCGGCATGGGGGCAAAGCGGATGTGGCAGTCCATGTCCGGCACCGGCTGCCTGCCGCCGGCGCGGTTGCTGCTTGCGGCCCCGCCCGACTCCGACGTCGAGGGCGCTGCGGGCCTGGGCTCCTCCAGCAGCCGCTCCGCCGGCGCGCCGACGGCCCGCGGCCCCGTGAGCGCCGGTCCCTCTGGGCCGAGCGCTCCTGGGGGTTGCCCGCCCATCCGCTTTCGTGGACCGCGGCGGGCTGTCCGCTCGGCCCGCTCTGGCCCGGGGGCCCACCGGGCTTCGAGCCGCCTGGAGCGCCTCCGCTCGGCCGCCGGCGACGCGGGCGCGGCTGCGGCTGTTGGCCCCGCTGCTGACCGGCCTGCAGCAGGAGCGCGTCCGCCCGGCGACGCAGGCGGGCTACTGCGACGTGCTGGAGCCGCTGGCCGACTTTCTGGGGCGGCGGCCGCTGCCCACCTTGTCGGGCCCGCAGTGGGACTCGCTCCTCCTCAACTTCGTGGAGTGGGTGCGGGGCGAGGGCTGGTCGCGGGCGCTGGCTTCCCGGCCGCTGCCCGCCGTGGTGTGGGCGCAGCCCACGCTGGGCGGCCCACTGCGTCAGGTCTTCCCCGGCGCGCATGCGGCCATGCTGGGCTGGCGCCAGCTGGAGCCCGCTCACAGCCGCCCACCTCTGCCCTGGGGTGTCGTGCTGGCCTTGGCGTGGGCGATGCTGCCCGAGTGCCCTGTGGGAGCCCTCGCCATCATCGTCATGTTCGAGACGTACATGCGCCCCTCGGAGCTCCTGAGCCTCACAGTGGGGCAGCTGGTGCCGCCTACCGCGTCGCGGGGCCAAGGAGCGTTCTGGGGCTTTTACGTCCACGTGGAGGAGTTGGGCCGGCCGTCCAAGACCCAGGAGTTCGACCTGAGCGTGCTCCTCGACTTGGACCGCCACCGTCCGCTTATCCCGGTGCTGCTAGCGCTGCAGGGCGGGCGCGCGAGCGGGGGGCCCCTCTTCGACGTCAGCTCGAGGCAGTTGTACCGGTCCTTCGCGCTGGCCGTGGAGCACGTTGTGGTCTCTTGCATCGAGCCGATCTCCTACGCGCTGCTCCACGGGGGCGCCAGCCACGATCGTCTCGTTCGAGCGCGCTCGCTGGTCGAGGTGCAGCAGAGGGGCCACTGGCGCAGCTTCCGGAGCGTCGTGCGCTACGACAAGCACGCGCGGGTCTCCTTTCAGCTCGGCAAGCTTTCCGCGGTGGTGAGAAACCAGATCTCGGCTCTGGTCGACCGCGGCTTTGCGCCCTTCGCCGTGCACTGCGCCAGGCTCTTGCACAGCCGCAGCCGCGCGGCCGCAGGGTCTTCCTAGACTTGTTCTCATGGGCGGGGGGCCTGGCGTCCTCACTTGCTGATCTCAACGTCGCGGTCGTATGCATCGATCTCTGCCATGGGCCTGCTCGCGACTTGTTGAATACTGACGTTTTCAACGCCTTGCTCGGCTGGATCCGCTCGGGCCTTGTGATGGGGATGTGGGCAGG